CACCAGCTATCTCCTCCGCGGACCGATCATTACCCGCGGCAGAGTCTTTCTCGGGTGAGTTTCACAGGTGTGCGGGATTTTTGACCCAGGTGACAATGGAATCCAGACAGTTACGGAGGACCTATGAAACTGATGGAGCCAAAATTGCCTGTTCAGCTGCTACGTGGGCAGGCATTAAACTGGGTGCAAGCCGTTTTAAGAACTTACCCTGAGATCACGTACCAAGACTTCCTTGTTAAATTTAAAAGTGTTTTTGAAAAAGGCACCAGGGCGGAGACAGCCGCTCACCGATTGTTGAACATAAAGCAGGGGAAGTCGAGTATGGCGGAGTACTCGGTCGAGTTTTGGACGTTGGCTGAAGAAACCGGGTGGGGGCAGTCGGCACTGATGATTACCCTGTTGAATAATGTTTGCGATGAACTGAAAAATGAACTAATGATGAGGGATGTACTTAAGACTCTCTCTGATGTGATTACACTGTGTGAAGGTAGACGAGCGCCTACGAGCACATCAGGGAACTGGAAACTACATTACCCAGAGGCCTCTGGGACGCACGGAGATGGCTCCTGTTCACGGTCTCCTCCACGGCTCATGATTGCAGCAAAATTAACTGTGCAACTCAAGACTCATTCTCTTAGGGCTCTGATTGACTCTGGGGCAGAACAGAACTTTAATGACGCCTTGCTGGTGCTTAAGTTAAATTTTAGCATGGAGCCTCTGCCGCATTCACTTCAAGTTACAGAGCTTAGTGGTTAGCGTCTCCCAGACATCACTCATACCACAGAACCTGTTTCCCTGACTCTCTCTGGTAAGAACTCTGAAGCCATACAGTTGTATGTGTTCAAAGCTCCTCTCACGCCGCTAGTCTTTGGTTATCCCTGGCTACATCAACATAACCCTGTGATTGACTGGAAGAAGGAGAGTATCCTGAGGTGGGGAGAAGAATGTCACATGTCCTGCTTAAAGGCCGCCACACCTTCCGTGGACCCGCTAACCAATTTCCCGTTCTCCGAGCCGCCAGACCTCTCCTCCGTACCGCCTATTTACCATGACCTTAAGCAAGTGTGTAAGGATAGGGCACGTTCGCTTCCCCCTCACCGGCCATATGATTGCAGGATTGACCTTCTACCGGCCGCACCACTCACGACCAGTCACTTATCCAGCCTGTCTCAGCCTGAGCGTGAGAGCATGGACAAGTACATCAACGAGTCACATACAGCAGCTCCGCGTTCGAGCTTCTCCAGGGGGTCACCATCTTCATTAAGTTGCACCTGTGCAACGCCCACCATCTGGTAAGAATAAGAGAAGGGGTGGACGAGTGGAAAACAGCCTTTAACACTCACCTCAGCCATTTTGAATATCTTGTTATGCCGTTTGGTCTCACCAATGCTCCAGCTGTTTTTCAGGCCCTTGTGAACGACGTGCTCTGAGACTTCATCAACCTCTTTGTCTACCTGGATGACATCCTCATCTTCTCCCGCTCTGTCACCGAACACCACCGCCATGTCAGGCAAGTTCTTCAACCCCTGTTGAGAACCATCTCTTCGTAAAAGGGGAGAAGTGTGAGTTCCATGTCACTACTGTTTCCTTCCTGGGCTACGTCATCGAACAAGGTAATCTCAAAGCTGACCCTGTTCAAGCAGTTGTTAACTGGCTGACCCCGTCTAACCGTAAGCAACTTCAAAGTTTTCTGGGATTTGCAAACTTCTACCAACGTTTCATCTGCGACTACAGTAAACTTGCCTTGCCACTGAATCGTCTCATTTTACCCAAGGTTCCTTTCTGCTGGGATGAACCGACTCAACAGGCCTTCACTCACCTGAAAGAACGCTTTGCCTGGGCACCCATCCTCGTCCAACACAACCTCAGCCAACAGTTCATCGTGTAGGTGGACGCCTCAGATGCGGGAGTGGGGCGGTGCTCTCCCAGCAACAAGGCGGTAAGCTTCATCCATGTACTTACTTGTCTCACTGCCTCTCCCCCGCAGAGAGAAACTATGACGTGGGAGATCGAGAACTACTGGCCATCAAGCTCGCCCTGGAAGAGTGGCATCACTGGCTGGAGGGCACTGCCCAGCTATTTGTGACGTGGACTGACAACAAGAACTTGGAGTACATTCGGTCGGCTAAACAACTCAACGCCAGGCAAGCCAGGTGGGCCCTGTTCTTTACCAGATTTACCAGGTTCCAGTAATGTCAAGCCCAACGCTCTCTCATGCCAATTCACCGCCTCCGAAGACACAGCTCAGGACTCCCCCATTCTTCCTCCCACGTGTGTTATTGGGGCCGTGACCTGGGAGATCGAGTTGGCGATTAGAGAGGCTCAACAGACTGAACCAGATCTCGGAACGGGCCCTCCAGGGCTACTCTTCATCCCCTCGTCAGTAAGGTCACGAGTGCTACATTGGGCTCACACTGCCAAGTTCACCTGTCACCCTGGGGTCCACCCTCCCGGATGGCCGAACTTCTCACCCTATCTCTAAGGGAGAGGCCAGCCACCCTTCGGAGGAAGCTCATTTCTGCCGCTTGTATCCGCGATCTCGTTCTTTCGGTCACTACACACAGCTCGTGGCCATAGGTGAGGGTAGGGACGTAGATCGACCGGTAAATTGAGAGCTTCGCTTTTACACTCAGCTCCCTCTTCACCACGATGGACCGGTGCAGCGTCCGCATTACTGCAGCTGCAGCCCCAATCCGTCTGTCGATCTCCGGCTCCCTCCTCCCATCACTCGGGAACAAGACCCCGAGATACTTGAACTCCTCCACTTGGGGCAGGAACTCATCCCCGACCCGGAGTGGGCACTCCACCCTTTTCCGGCTGAGAACCATGGCCTCAGATTTGGAGGTGCTGATCCTCATTCCCGCTGCTTCACACTCGGCCGCGAACCGTTCCAGTGCGAGCTGGAGGCCCTCACCCGATGAAGCCAACAGAACCACATCATCTGCAAAAATCAGAGATGAGATTCTGAGGCCACCAAAGCGAAAGCCCTCCGCCACTTGCCTACGCCTAGAAATCCTGTCCATAAAAATTATGAACAGAACCGGAGACAAAGGGCAGCCCTGGCGAAGCCCATCACCCACCGGGAACGAGTCCGACTTATTGCCGGCAATGCGAACCAAGCTCTTGCAACGGTTGTATAGGGATCGAATGGCCCGTAGCAATGGGCCAGACACCCCATATTCCCGCAACACCTCCCACAGGACACCCCGAGGGACACGGTCGAATGCCTTCTCCAAGTCCACAAAACACATGTAGACTGGTTGGGCAAACTCCCATGCACCCTCAAGTATCCTGGAGAGGATAAAGAGCTGGTCCAGTGTTCCGCGACCAGGACGAAAACCGCATTGTTCCTCCTGTATCAGAGGTTCGACTAACGGACGAACTCTCCTTTCCAGCACCCTGGCATAGACTTTCCCAGGGAGGCTGAGGAGTGTGATCCCCCTGTAGCTGGAACACACCCTCCGGTCCCCTTTCTTAAAGATGGGGACCACCACCCCGGTCTGCCAGTCCACAGGTACTGCCCCTGATCTCCACGCAACATTGCAGAGGCATGTCAACCAGGACAGCCCTACAACGTCCAGAGCCTTCAGGAACTCGGGGCGGACCTCATCAACACCAGGGGCTCTGCCACCAAGGAGTTGTTTAACTGCCTCAGTGACCTCGCCCCCGGAAATTGGCGGGTCATTCCCCTCATTCCCAGACTCTGCTTCCTCCTCGGAAGACGTGTCAGTGGGATTAAGGAGGTCCTCGAAGTATTCCTTCCACCGCCTGACAATTTTCTCAGTCGACGTCAGCAGCGCTCCGCCAGCACTATACACAGTGCAGGTAGAGCACCGCTTTCCCCTCCTGAGACGTCTGACGGTTTGCCAGAATCTCTTCGAGGCAGTCCGAAAGTCTTTTTCCATGGCCTCTCCGAACTCCTCCCACACCCGAGTTTTTGCTTCAGCCACTGCCCGAGCCGCATTCCGCTTGGCCTGTCGATACCTGTCGGCTGCCTCCGGAGTCCCACAGGCTAACCAAGCCCGATAGGACTCCTTCTTCAGCCTGGTGGCTCCCTTCACCTCTGGTGTCCACCATTTGGTTCGGGGATTACCACCACGGCAGGCACCAACCACCTTGCGGCCGCAGCTCAATGCAGCAGCTTCGGCAATGGAGACGCTGAACATGGTCCATTCGGACTCAATGTCCCCAGTCTCCCTCGGAATGCTGTTGAAGCTCTGCCGGAGGTGTGCGTTGAAGATCTCGCGGACTGGGGCCTCTGCTAGACGTTCCCAGCACACCCTCACTACGCGTTTAGGTGCACCGGGTCTGTCTGGCATTCTTCCCCGCCACCTGATCCAACTCACCACCAGGTGGTGATCAGTTGACAGCTCAGCCCCTCTCTTTACCCGAGTGTCCAGAACATATGGTCGCAGGTCTACTGATACGATTACAAAATCGATCATCGACCTACGGCCTAGAGCGTCCTGGTGCCACGTGCACTTATGGACACTCTTATGTTCGAACAGGGTGTTCGTTATGGCCAAACTGTGGTTAGCACAGAAGTCCAATAACAGAGCACCGCTCGGGTCCAGATCAGGGAGGCTGTTCCTCCCAATCACGCCCCTCCAGGTCTCGCTGTCGTTACCCACGTGAGCATTGAAGTCTCCCAGCAGGACAACAGAGTCTCCAGGTGGAGCACCCTCCAGCACCCCACCCAGGGACTCTAAGAAGGCTGGGTACTCTGAACTGCCACTCGGCGCATAAGCGCAGATGACAGTCGGGACCCGTTCCCCGACCCTAACGCGCAGGGAACAAACCCTCTCGTCCACCGGGAAAAACCCCAACGTACCGCAAACTAGTTCATGCATTTATTACTTCTAAGCTGGACTACTGTAATTCAGTATTATCAGGATGTCCATGTGCTCTTCACTTCTCCTTACCAACCAAATCTCACAAACATGGATCCTGTTTAATCCTTCACGGCTCAAATTCAACAAAGAGCTGGAGAGAGAAGGTAATCAGAGAACTAGGAATATTTTTATTTCATTTTCAGTTCGAGTGAAGCTGCGACAGTAATACACAGATGAGGCATCACGCTGTCGTCAACCATTTCTTTAACAAAATAAAAGCATCTGCATGGAGCCGAATGCACAACAGCAGAAACAGCAGCTCCTCCTCGCACATAAACATCTTTAATCTCCTTGAGTAAAAAAATAAATTACCTCAGGCCAACGAACAGTCAATGTGACATCAGAACAAACTCAGCTGTTTTATTTCTCACCAATACTTACAATAAATATCAGCAACAGCTGCTTCTACAATCTGTTTAACATAAAACATCAAGAACTGGATAAAAATAAAAAACAGCAGATTTTACTGTAACAAATAATTAAAGATACAACAAATATTTGGCATTTTTACACAAAAATAAATAAAATAATTTAATTGTCCTGCCTGCCGATTTTATTCATTAAATTTGGTTGAAAAGAACAGATGGCTGAACAACAACAACAACAACAACAAAATATGCACACAAAAAGAATATTCAGAGCCAACTCCCAGAATGCACTGCTGCTGAATTAAGCGAAATAAAGAGCTCTGCTCACGCGTGTCCTGTTTCGATATTAAGTTTTGATCTTCTGTTTCATTTTGTCTTTTGGTCAGACGTTTTGTTTTAAAGAAAATTAAAACACCACGTCAGGTTTGTCATGAGGAGCTCCTATCACAGCCAATCACACGAAAGAATCTGAAGACTCGCTCTCTGAATCTCTTCAGGGTTCATAGTTCACCAACACCAGAGTGAGGCAGCTGCTGCTCTGATTCACACATGACAGGATGTGATGTCATCAACAGTAAGCAGGTACGAGCAGGCGGTGCTACACCAGGCGGCGAATCAGGTTGTTCTTCTCGGGCTCCAGGAACTCATCCACCAGGGCAGCGGTGACCTTCCTGAGCTCCTCCTCCAGGGTGGACACCTCGCTGCAACACAGAGAGGGTGATGATGTCACAGAGGCCCCGCCCACACATGAGGTCACACATGAAGTTTGTTAGAGTGACATTAGGACCTGATGTAATTATTCTTGGACTTTATCCTGTATGCTCTAAATAAATTTGGTGCTTTTTTTTAAACAAACGTCACAGTTCCATCAAACTTTCTTGTGGTACACGTTTCTCTGAAACGTCGGTCTTTTCCTGTTAGCAGCACAGTTATTGAGCTCACAGATCAGAGCCAGTTCAGCACTGCAGGGAAAGAAAGCTCCATCAGTCAGCTGGCAGACTACAATTCAGATCAGTGTTATTTATTCACACCTCTGATGAAGTCTCACATGTATCAGTGCTGATAAATGATCAGAAATATAATATTTCTGACTGTTTGAGGCAAAATTGAATCGAGTCGAATGGATTATAGAAATCAGTGATGATACTCAGCCCTCGTGAGCAGCCCAGGCCTGACAGAAGTGCCAAAGAGTGTCAAAGCACTTTAGGCACAAACACTTTTTCAGTCACGAGTGCTTCTTGTAGAACTGAGTTCCAAATAAAGAACTTTGTGTTGACAAGATTGTTAGTTGATCATTTACAAATCAACAGCAAAAAAAGTACACATGTAAAACTGTGGTGTTCAGCGATGCGGGTGAAAAATTTGGGTGCGCCGACCTTTTTTGGCACTGCGCACCAGTGCAACCGCGGCAAAAAGTTAGTCTAGAGCCTGCGCTAACATTTCATCTCCATCACAGACAAACAGAAACGAGGAGCCGACCTCTGCCCCGGCACCGCGCAGAACTCTGTGTAGTACTTGATCTTCGGTTCGGTGCCGCTTGTCCTCAGCGTGGCCACGATGCCGTTCTGCAGCGTGAAGGTGATCATGTGACTGCTCCTGGACACAGGAAGAACCTGTACGGGAGAACACACCTGAACACACCTGAACTGAACAGGAGGAACTCGAGGAAGAACAAAACGGCATCTCACAGATCTGAGGTCTGGCTGACTGCTGTCGTATCCCGTGGTAACGTCTCTGACATGAACGATCTGGACGCCGCCGCACGTCTTCGGGTACGAGCCGCTGCCGTCAAAGTTTCTGATGCGGCTGAAGATCCTCTGGATGGTGGGAGGGTCGTTACAGACGACGTAGGAGGTTTTAGACACGTGATACCCGTACCTACAGACAGGAAGTCACACTGAGGATGACTGTCAAAATAAGAGCAGAGCACATTTTTCTGTCCAATGTAGTTTTAGTAGAAGTTTTGTCGAGATGTTTTTCAAAGGATTACAGTGGTCCCTCGCTATAACGCGGTTCACCTATCATGGGCTCGCTGTTGCAGATTTTTTTTTTCTTTTTGCAATTTTGCTTTCTTTGTTTTGCTTTTTACAGCACATTGTGTTCTGCATCCTGATTGGCTGTACACTTCCTGTTAAATCCAGAATTCAAAATCCTGCTCCTCACTTACAAGGTCTTAAATAATCAGGCCCCATCTTATCTTAATGACCCTGTAGTACCATATCACCCGATGCATTGAGTTTTTCCTTTCCAGTCACCTTTCTCACTCACTATGTATTAACAGACCTCTCTGCATTGAATCATATCTGTTATTAACCTCTGTCTCTCTTCCACAGCATGTCTTTATCCTGTCTTCCTTCTCTCACCCCAACCAATCACAGCAGATGGCCCCGCCCCTCCCTGAGCCTGGTTCTGCCGGAGGTTTCTTCCTGTTAAAAGGGAGTTTTTCCTTCCCACTGTCGCCAAAGTGCTGCTCATAGGGGGTCATCTGATTGTTGGGTTTTTCTCTGTATGTGTTATTGTAGGGTCGACCGTACAGTATAAAGCGCCTTGAGGCGACTGTTGTTGTGATTTGGCGCTGTGTAAATAAAATAGAATTGAATTGATTTGGTGTGTGAGGACCAAACTGTGCATTGGCATTAAGGGACACACAATAAAGTCCAGCATAGAATCTTTTTCACTTGAAGCGGGTCAGTAAACGTCACACAGCTCGACATTAAATGACAAGTTGTGATCGTGATGTTAGAGCAGTGCCCTGAAGTCTTACGTCTGGTAGATGTTGTGCAGCTGTTGGCTCAGACTTAGGTGCTTGTTGTGAAGGTAAGCGGCCATTTCAGCCACGACCGCCGCCGAGCTCACGCCGTCCTTATCCAGGACTGTGTCCCCACAGAGGAACCCTGAAGAGATGAAGGGACACCTGACAGTTTCCCTTCCAATAATCCTTTAAACACAGAATGAATTCAGTTCTCCAATAACCATCAAAGGGCCTTTATACTGTAGAGGACGGTGCAACAACACAGGTAGCTGCTCTGTGCTGGTGCAGGGCACTGAAGATGATCACAGTGGGTGTATTATCCTTGAACTGTGATGAAGTCTACTCCCCACTGCTGTGTAATCAGATACTTTAAATTTAAATCAGACAGGAGAGGGTTTCCAGGAAACACCGCTAACTGTTCAGTTTCTACGCCAAACGTCACAGCGAACTTAGTTACCGATGGACTCCTCGAAGGAGAAGATGACTCTGCTTCCTGTTTGGGACAGCTCGTGGATTCTATTCCCGACCCATTTAAAGCCTGGCAGAGTTTCCTGTTGAACACAGAGTAACCATCATCGTCTGACTTCCACACACTGGTGTGCTCACTAATGCCTGAGCGTCTGACCTCAAAGTGGAACCCCTCGATGCGAGCGAAGGCCTGCAGGATCTTCGAGGACACCGTGGTCGCCAACATGTAAATGCTCCGAGCGTCTGCTGGTTCAGAGTGGTTCTCCTTCCACGTGAAGAACATCCACCAGCCCAGCAGGGCTGCCAGCTCGTTACCTGTGAACACCTTCCAGCCACA